AGATGAAAATATATGAGATGTGACTGTGAATTTTATCTGATGATTTAAGTGAATGATCTTGTCGCTAAAATTTTATAAATAGTTATCTGAGTATAGAAATAACAGAAACAAACATGGAAGAGTTCCATCATAAATATTTACAAAAAAACGTATGAAATTTTTTGCAGTGTGGATGTTGGTTCTGTAGCTTGTGAAGCCTTGAGGACTTATAGGTTAGATACCACAATTTCAGAGTAACATTACTGTAGATAGAGACAGTATTTTTCTCAAAAAGTGTTTATATCTATCTGTAAATCCACACAATATCACAGCCGAGAAAACGGACATCTTCGTTGCCACGAGAACCTCAAATTTAAACTTTTTATATTAACAAATATACAACTTATAATATAGTTCATTGCATGCATCGGGAGAGATGAGAAAAGCGTACATAATTTTTGTAAGGAAACCTGACGATAAGAGACAAATTGGGAGATGATAGATGCAAGGATAATATTAAAATTGATCTAAGAGAATAGGGTGGGAAGAGTGGACTGGATTCATTTGGCTCAGGATATGGATGACTGGTGGATCGACTCCTGTGAACACATTAACTCTTTAACGATCAGTAACGCTGCATTTTGAATTTATAGGTTTCATACGATTGTAGCACAGGATATGTCAAATCAATGAGATGGAATCCTGTTTCATAGAATTGGTATTAAGGTTTGTGTTTGTGTACTACGCTCTTTCGTTTTGTTTTAAAAATATTAAACTCACATTTTCTTCGTAACTTAGTTTCAGAACGGTTCGTAGGTTTCGGACGAAATTACAGTGTAACGAAGATACTGTCCTTAATTATTAAAATTTATCCTCCTTGGAATACACTAGTGGTCTCAAAATTTAACGCAGTCATGTTATTCAAACTTTGAAACCAAAATGTAGAAAATACGTCTAGAGGAAAGTATATGACAGATCAGTGACTGGCTGCAGACTTTAATTCCAAAGAGGTGCATCAGGAATTTGTGTGTCCGAGTGTCTCCGGGGTCCACCAAGCTTCATTTTCGGAATTTATCGGGGCCGTAAGAGCATGGAGGTAACCCCTGAACCTTTATGGAATGTTGAATGAAATGTATGTGCCTTGAATAAGCCCGTGTTCTCACAAATTCAAGAGTGCTATTGCCCATCTAGAAACATAATTTACAAATTCACGCTGTCATATTTAAAATATTGAACTAGATGAGAGATGCACACAAAATTTGTTTTGCTGGGAAAAATTACATCAAGAGTCTAATTGCGAGATACAGGAATAGATGGAAGGGTAATATTAAAATGGATCTTGCAGAAATGTAGTGTAATGTGAACTGGATTCAACTGGCACAGGATACAGTCTAATAAGCTGGTTTTGCTGAATGTAGTAGTGAAACTTGCAATTTCACAAAACTAGAATTCAAGTCAGAATCTTTAATTTTTACGATCTGCTATCAATAATTACTCAGAAGGTCGAAATATAATCTTACCTGTTTTTATACGCGAAAACTTGGTCTCTCGCACCAAAGAAGGAACATTAATTGGGGGCGTTGGAACAGATTACTGAGATGAATGTTTGAGTAAGAGAGTGAAAGTAACATGAAGATGGAGAAATTTTTAATAAAAACTAGTTTGTCATTTTTCGAGGAAGATGACGCCTAGGGGAACTGAAATATTTGTACAAAATTTTAATCTGAAAACCTAAAGGGAAAGTTAGACAAACAAAATGAAATGGGAGGATAATATTAAAATTAATTTAAAGTAGTAGAGTGTGAGGTTGTGATCTGGATTCAGGTGGCTGTGGTTAGAAGAGTTATGAATATTTGGATTCTGTAAAAGTCGGTGATTTTTACATTTAACTAGACGAATTATTGTCGGTCTCTCAAGAAGGATCTCTATGGATTTTAGTAACTTAGAGGAAGTTTTTGAACAACAGAGAAACTATCAACTTCTCAACAAGGACTCTTCTCTGAAGTTGCCTTCTTATGTTATATGAAACTTAAGTCAAGGGTTATAAGGGCACATTGTTTATTAACAAGGCCCTTAGGATATCAGCTGATGAAGTTCTCAAATCTCTTCTGAGCGTGTGTGAACTAGACTTCAAGACTTCTGTTAACATCTGAATTCCAGCATCATTCAGGTTTTGAAGTTGCCAAACATGTTAGACCTTTGTGTGACCTGTACTTAAATAGTGTATTTATACTGGGGCACGTCCCATTGGTACTTTAAGAAAAATGAAATGCATTTAATCATTGGCGATATTTTCAATGTTAACTATATACAGTCTAGTTTTGTTGTATCTAATCTATTTTTCAGTGTTTAATGAAATCAGAATATATGAAGAAAAAAAAAAAACTGTATTAAATGAAATTAGATAAAGCAGTTTCCATGAATAATTAAAATTTCAAACATGAAACTGTAGAAGAAATGTTCAGTGATATCTCAGTGGTTGTTACAGACCATACAATGAGAGAAATAAAAAATGATACCAACATTAAAACCACTGTGGATTTTTCTTCAATCCTTTCCATGATGCAGAATCCAGCAGTTAGATCTTACGATAGGGCATACTCCGGAGAATCTGACGTAAATACGTCTATACGGAAAGGAAGTTTATATATTAGCTTTAATTACAACAATATTAACAACAATGCCGAGTAAACAGATGACGTTTCTTAGGTAACAACAATGCCGAGTAAACACGACGTTCCCTAGGTAACCATTGTTGTCGATTTGTTGATATCGATCTTACACATTTTCGTTACACGTTTTCCTTTCACTTGTTTGCAGAATGAACCTTCCGTATAGACGTATTTACGTCAAAAACAGTCCACATGATGGATATGATCTGGGGTTTTTGCTCCTTAATATTAATTACAATTTGTTTGTTTTGTTCTGAATTGTTTATAATATAATTATGAATTTAAGAGTGTGAAGCTTTATTAAGTAACAATGAGAACGTTATCATATGATTCATACTTATTTCAACCTGGAACTGCTTGTCAGGTTACCTTGATACTCTTTTTAGACTGCAAACATGTTCATAACAGATGAGTAATTGTCACAAGGCCATAATATATTCATCTGCGTAATGTCTACCGCTCGATAAAATGACTTCATGCTGGTCGAACGATATCTGATCGATTGTTGGTGACTCCTACCATGGCAGGAAAAGCACACGGACCGGTAACCTCACTTTTGTCTAATGCATTTACTTAAAAAAGCATGGAAATGTATATCCATTTCTTTGTATCCCTTAATTGTGAGGTGTTTAGGCACTGGATTAGTTTTACAAATGTGAACTGGGAACCGGATTATATGCTTCTTGGCTTGTATTTGCATTAAATACGTGAAATGAAAGGTATTAAGTGTTTGATTTTAGAAACTTTCGAATGTTGTTAAAATAAATGTGTTAGTGGGAGGTGTGCATTGAAAGTTACTGTGCGAATTTACTAGGTCTATAACCCGTATTTTACAAGGAGTTAGAGCTTTATTGAGTTTCTGAAAAAAGGGAACTGTTCTAGTAGTAAGTGGTATATGACAATGTAGATCTCGCTTATTTATTCGTATTTTGTTTTGGATATATTTTGTTCACGTATGAATTTGTTTCTTACACCTTGTACTAAAAACAAAGCAAAAATAAATACGTACTGGTTTTTTTTTTTAAAAAAATCCAGTGTTTTAAGTATTTTTGTAAGGACATTGATTGTTCGTTCCCTTGGATGACGTCTAGACCGGCATAATAACGCCGCATGTAATATTATGGACAGTTTTCCTTCTTTCCCCAAAGGAAATTAAGCCCTTTTAACCGCGTTCCCGACAAAGTTTCAAAAAAAGATGTCTGCTACGTCCTCAGTGCCTGTAACAACTCTAGAATCTCTGAACGAATTTTAGTTCAATCATATATCGGGGAGGACTGCTAAGTTTGTCGACACATTCCAGTTTTGCTGAAAATCTGTACAATTTACACAAAAATATACACGATTTCATGCTCGCGGAAGTGACCTTGAAGTCATATGGGAATTCCGAACAAACGCCAGACCACGCTCATGCAACCACATGGGAAATCCTCCGTGATTACGTCATCACCCAGCCAGATTCCTCAGCCATGCTAAGATCATTGGCACCACGAACCCCCCCCCCCCCCCCCCCGTAGGCTCAAGGTTATTGTACCTGTGACCTTGTACATTGCACACAGGATTCAGGAGCTTGTAATGCGTTTGCCTTACAGACAAACAGTACTTAACAATTGTTATAATTAACAATTGGTCTTGGTGTGAGTTCGACACTGACAGTTCGAAACTTTAGCAGAATGAAACAGCGTCATAATGGAACACAGACGAACGTCTCGGAAAGGTAATTATTATTAATGTTTCCTTAAATTAGAGCAATCGTATTTGTGTCTTTACGAAAAAGGTGCATTGCGTAACAAATTGTAAGTAGTGAGAGGTGGAGAAAAGCATTATGTGGGCAAACAGAAGGAAATTACTAGTCATGACGTCAGCTGCACGCTCAATTACATCACTTCCGGTTAGGACAAAGAAAGTTTTTTGTTTTGTTGCACGGAGTTTGCTGAGTACACCTTGAGGTTGGCTGACCTGATCATAGGGGTAGATAATCTCATAGGCCTTACTAAAGCCGGTGACCTTGGACTAGGTCCAGTGCATGGGATTATGACGTTTCTGGACTGGCACCGAGGCATTTTACGGGAAAAGGAAGGCTTCATACTTCCGAAATATTGTGAGAAGAAGACATTATTGGGTCGTGCTATACGCCGCATAGCAACTGTAAAACTTTTACAGACTGGTAGAGACATCTACTTGCAAGGATCATACTAATTCGACCGTGCGCAGTTTTGTTTACGAGGAAATATGATGCGAAGTCGACTGTTTATGTTGTACTTTTCACTTTCAAATGTTGTAAGCCATGTTCCATGCTGCTATAACTTTCAGGTTAGAGGCGGCTCCTGGTGGTGATCCAACAAATCATGAAAGAAGTTTATTTTATCGTGGTAATGGTTGGTGTTTTGTTGATGTCTGCTCATGTGTGGATTTGTACACGTTTGATCATTCTGAATGTAATCGAAGAAGTGTCTTTTTATTCTCCGTGACGACGTCGTCTTTATACCACAACAGCAACATAAGTTCTGAAATGTAAATTTATACTTTAGTTTCAAAGTGAAGCTTGTAACGAAAGTGAGAGGATTATGGTTCAGTCAGTGAATTATCAAGTGAGAACGTATAAATATATCAAGACATCTGTTCCGTCGTCTTACACCTCAATGTTCAGCACAGAAATGGGGCAAGACATTAGCGTTTACAGAGAATCTTGTTTTGTTGTAAGGTAAGCAAAATCAGCATGGCCATTTTTTTTTTGTAATGTATTTAGCTGTCTTCTCTTAATTTAATCAGTTTATATAATTCCGTACACTGATACAATTTGTGCTTGGGACTTGTGCGCTTGGACACTGTGACTATGGGTTCGAATCCCACACAAGGCATGGATGTTTGTCCGCGTTTTTTTGTGTCGTGCTGTCCTGTGTACAGGTAGAGGCCTTTCGACGGGCCGATCCCTCGTCCAAGGAGTTATAATACCAAATAATATCACGTAACCTCCAAGAGAGGCGTCCAAGACCCACACTGGGTTGTAGAGCCAGAGATGAGATGAGATACTCTGTACCTAAACATAAACTAACCTTTGTGA